TATCTCTTGTTTTTTTCCCTCTTTGCGACCATTTTATCGACAATGTTTCTTGTCGTGTTTCTTGCCATGTGTTTCCTATCTCTTCTGATGTTCGTTAACATTTATCCCAAGGCAAAAATGAAGGATCAGGATATAAAAGACAAAAAGACAATTAGGGTGGTAAAAAGTGATAAAAAGAAAAAATAAAAATAAGATGCAAAGAGCACATTGTCGAATTTGTTGCGTGGCGGGGTGTCTCGACCATAATTGCTAATATGAAACAAATATTAACTCACTATTAAATAATCTCTAAACGGATCCTCAAGGTACGATTTCATGCTGACGCTCGACATTCATTTTTAGCGTCAAAACAGATCACATGATCAAAATTGACGAATACCAAGCATCATGTGATCATGTGATCTGTTTTGACGTTAAAAATAAGCGACGGTATAAAAAAAGGCACCTTTTACAGTCGGAGTCTCGAAGCTAAACAAATCCGTGAAGAGCAGCTGAAAGGGAATTAAAAGAAATATCAAGTTAAATGATGATAGCAAGGCAATGCAAACAACTTCGTAAGGAACAGTTACAAAGAGAATTGAGGGAAATATATAGTGATATGGTGCTAATACTGAGACGAGCTAAAGAGGAGGAGCATTTCTTCAGAGTTTATCCGTAAGTATTCTCTTTTTTGATATTAGCTGAACGAATCTGAGATTTGAACATTAACTTGTAATAGCAAATTAAAAATTTAAATGATTATAATATAATATTTATTAAGAATGTCAAACATAATCACTAATATAAAGCCAAAGTTAATTCTAACTTTTAAACAACTTTATGGATCCTTAATTACAGTCGGCATTGCAAAGATGAATATATCTTTCTGGTAGGAAGAAAATTTTGTGATAAACTGGAAGAAATACAGCCAAGATTAAACCGAATATGGATGGAGAAGGATAGGATCGGAGACTATGTGTAATTATTCACGTTTCTTGTAACACATAGCATAAATAAGTCTGAGAATTAAACTCCTATTAATTATCCTATAACCCAGTGAGAAGGCTGATGTCGAATCGACATCGTTTCGATGTCGATGTCATCGAAAACTCATCGAATCGAAATTGACATCGAAAATCAGGCCATTAGATCGGAAGAGCACACGTC